TACTCTACAAATGGCAGTTTGATAAATAATAAAATTACAATAATTAAAATATTCTAATTTTAAATAAGTAATTTAATATTATGTTTTTCTAAATTGGCTGTTCTTCCTTTATCATATACTAACATAATAACATTTATATCAATGTGTGTACTTTTCTCCTAGGTCATCTCTCAGGTGACTCTGTTCTTCCAAAGCTGTCCATCCCCGTCGTCATCATGTCTTCATCTCATCCTATAATTAAGTTTGCATTTTCTAATGTTACCAATGTTTCTGGAGTAGATGGTTCATTTCAAGCAAAATGCAAATTTTGCACGTTTGGTGGGGGATTGGTCAAATTTGATAGGACTAGCTATGCAAATTTGTCAAGACACCTCAAACGTCACCACCCAAATGCCTATAGAACATATTGTGAACAGACTGCAAGTGCAAAGAGCTCTTCTTTGGATGCTAAAGGTGAAAGGATGATGAAATCCTTTTTCCTATCAACTGAAACTGATGCAGGCGCAGCACCATCCATGACATCCATTTCATCCCATATCACAAAACCAGACATTCCAACCACAACCAGTCCATGCAACAGCAACATTTCTAGCAAACTGTCAGACTTAACAGAAGCACCAGTCCCATTAGAAATCAACACAAATCAAGAAGTACATCAAGATCAAAGTCCAACTACATCATTTGCATCTCCTTCACCTTCACACAATCCAGAACTACATATTCAATCATCTGTATCCACAAATAAAAAAATTCAACCACTCCTGATCTGCAAGCCTGAATGCAAATCTTGTAATTCTCTGAACAATGCCGATAAATTCTTCAAACTTGCATTGAATGCTGCACTTGATGAATGCCCACACAAAACAGAAGATTGTTGCTGCAAAAGGAAGTTTGAGAACCTTCGTGGAAGATCAGAGGAAGAAAAGCAAATAGTTTCGCAACACAATGCCAAAACCTTTGATGGTGGTTCTACTTTCTTATCACAGTACAACAGTAAAGATGATAAAATAGTACATTTCTGTAAAGTCTGCCTCAGCCGCGGACGTCTTAGCAAAGGTAAGCGTAAATTTGGAGAATCCTGGACTGAGGGAATGACCTTCACTACCACCAGGAAGAAAAATATAGCCATGAAAATGCATCTGCTTAGTCAACAACACAAGGAAGCTCTGGAATTTACAAAATCTGATGATGACAGTCAACGAAAATTGGGATTTCCAACTACAGAAGAACAGGAAAAGGCAACAAGAAACACTATGATTGCTGGAATCTTCATGACTTCTCATTCATTACCATTCAGATTGTATACTGCCTTGTGTGCTTTTCTGTCCCTTATCTGCCCATCACATTTGAGCAATCCCTTGGGCAACCGACATCAAACGCATACAGGGATCCGTAATGTCCTTTCAGCAAATTATGAAGCCTGTGCTACTACCATGAAGAGATTCTTTAACAGCACTTTTGCAGCAACAAAGAGCAAGAGAAAAATCACTATTAGCTGTGATAAGGGTACTGCTCCAAAGGATGTATCACGACAGGCCATTGTTGCAACCTATGTTGGCGATGATGGAATGCCTGAGGAAATGGTTTTAGGGGTTCCAATGATCAGGCAGGGAGATGCTGTGGCTACTACTAATCATGTTAAAGAAAATGTATCTTTATTCCTTGATCCCTCAACAGTTGCATTTGTGTGCACAGATAGTGCAGCTGTATACACAGGAAAGAAAAGTGGCATGATTGAGATACTGAAAACTTCAAATGAATTTCAAAACTTGAATGGCCTCCCTGATTTCTGCCATAAAATGGAAAATTTATTGCAGAAGTCTATGCCAAAATGGGTATCAGACACTTTGGCAACATGCAGAACTGTTTCAGCTTTTGTAAATGACCACAATATAGTCAAGAATATAATACACAAATACATCAACATTTATCATGGATCAAGCTTCAGTACAATTCCAAACCAATGTGCTACTAGATTTGCGCAATATTTGCATCTACACTTGGATGCAATTTTGAAAAACTTGCCAATCATGATTGAAGCCCTTCCTGAATTGATAAATACTCAGACTTTCCTAAGTGATAAAGCAATAGGGATATTGAAATCAATCGTCCAGGATTCCTTTGTTATTAAAGTCATGTTTATTCGAAGACTCTACAAAGTCATGTCTGAAAAAGAGAAAATAGCTCAAAGCACTCACTTTGGACCATTCCAATACAAGCACCTTGTTGACAGCCTGGCATCAGAATTGCAGGAGTTGAAGACCCCTTTTATTGATGTGACAACTTTTCTGAAGGATGGAAATGTCAAGTCACACTCTGAAGTCGGCAGCCATACTAACTATGACTATATCAATTTGCGGCAAACAGCAGTGAAGCTCAACTTGAAAACAAGAGGAGAGCTTGAAGCTTCAAGGGAAGACATTGTAAGAAATTTGATGGATGACAATTCTAAATGGATTGACCAAATTTGTAATGAAGCTCCCAATTACTTGATGATCCCTCAGCCCATTGCTCTTGCAACGCAGTTGTTTTCACTGCACCACGAGAACAACTTGGAGGACAAATCAACTTCTATCAAGCAACTGTTCAATACTGTTAACATCCAATTTGAGTTTTGTGGAAGCGAGTGCAAGGGAGTTGATGATTGTGATTGTTTGACAAGTGATTATGAAAAATTCATGGCTACTTTTCAATCGCAGTATCAAGCTCTGCCCAACAACAGCGTTATTAGGTCAGGCAGTTCCAAATCACAATCCTACACCCATGCCTTTGCTCATTATATTGCAGAAAACAATCGCAAAAATGTATATCCAACCAACATCATTCGTTGTCTTGAAATCATCCAGCTCATGAAACCTACTCAATCAGCCACTGAAAGAGTTATGTCTCATGTAGCGAACACAGTTAAAGATAGATTTGAATCCAAGAACCAGTTCAATACAAAATCAACTAAAGAAGATACTGTTAACTGCGAAGTCTTCCTCAGATGCAACACAAATATTGTCTTGCATGATGCCGATCTTGCAAGATCCATATTCCTTAAAACACACAATGAATCTCTGATCAAAAACAAGAGGTCTACTGAACCAAGTTCATCTGTCTCAGTCTACTTGAGTGAGCTTAGCAGAGATGTTGCGAGGAGCAACTTTTCTAAGCGGCATCTAGAAGAGGAACCAAAGGAAGGTCATGGAAAGAAGAGAAAAATTGATAACTGGTTATTAAAAGCCCCTGAAGTAAGAGAAATTTGTTCGAGCGTGAACACATCTGCAGTCCATCAGGAGCTACCTGTTCCCTATCCCAACACCAGTGATTATTTGCTAGAACCTAAATTGAAAGTTGTGCCATTGCAGAGTACCTCTCTTCCATCAATTTCTTTGGATCAAATTTTCAATCAGGAAAATAAAGAGCCTGTGCAAGATAAGCAAAACTTTAATATTGCAAAACATGCCATTAAAACTAAAAAGAAGAAAATCTATTGCTTGTGTCACAATAGGAATGATGGAAGAAATAAAGCTAAAACTTCCAAAGATGAGATGTGGATAGGCTGCACTAATTCAGAAAAATGTCTTTCTTACATTGAACGCTTAGCTGAGGAAGGTGTCGAAGGTGGTGACTGGTTCCATCTTGAGTGCCTGAAAATGAAGGAAATTCCACCTGAAGATTGGTTCTGTCAGAAGTGCAGTGACAAAATGAAGTGCAGTGACAAAATAAAGTGCACCATGAGCCAAAAATTGGAGAGATTTAAATGTGTATCTACAATTAAAGAGGACAATACCAGCCAAGACATTTCTCTGCAAAATTTAACGCAACTCTTGATGGATGAAAATAGGAAAATAGAAAAAATAACTGGAGATGGGAACTGCCTTTACAGATGCTTTGCTCACTCATTGTTCGGAGACGAAAAACTATTCCTGGATGTGAAGAGGCTTCTAGCTGGCAAACTGACTTCTTTGATCGAGGATAATCAATGGAAAGATAAATGGACAATTGACAGTTGGAAAACTCCACAGAGCCGAGACATGCTAGTCAACAATAGTGATGCAATGTTGGTCTACTCCCTAGTAAAGTGTTATGGCCCTGAACTCACTAAAACTACTAGTAATATCATTGAGGGCATAAAAAATCGTGCTAACAAAATTAAAGACCCAAACCCAAAGAATCTACTCGATAAGTATGCAGGAGATTTCGAAATGCTTATTTTTGCCTGCATGTTCCAGAAAAATGTATACACTCTTCAAAAAAGAACCTCACCTCCTTCATACATGTGGCAATTAATACACACATACCAAAAACCACTTATTCCATCTGGACCTAATAACCACATTGCTCTTCTATACCACTCATTCCCCAATAATCCTTCTCTTAACCATTATGATATAATAGATCCAATCAATAGTAGGACTTGCAGTGCTCCTAACACTGAGATCACCTACACAAAAGGTCATGTAAAGACTGAAAATAACAACCAAGTAATTCAAATTGAGTGAAAATTGTTCATCCTTGTCACTCAATTTGCATTTTGGGCTGTTGTCTTCGTCGCATTAAAATGTAAAACTTTTCCACAACATAATCAATTGAGTGACAGTTAATCTCATCACTCTCAATTCACCAAACCCTCATGCCATATTATAATTATGCTGATTTACTAAATGCTTATATTTGGGTATTGCTCTTAGAGTTGATTTTCTTATTTCCCTATCTTGTCTTATTGAAAGCTTTATAACTATTTGTATATAACTTGATTTGCCTAGGTTGCATGAAAATGTGACATATCACTTGTCAACATGTAGTGCTGTATTTGTTGATTACTTTTGTAATTGTAATCATTTGAAATAATATCAGACTTTATTATATGTAAAACTTTGAAATTTCATATTTACAATGTTGATGTGATAATTTTGAAATACATAGGTAATATTTGCCAATAAATTGAAATAAAATATTTATAGAGTAGTAAATTTTGATCATACAAGTTGAAAGAAATTAACAGAGCTCTCTAGATTTACAGGTTTGAATCATGGCGTATCTAACGCTGGGGTCCGAGGCACGGTCGTTTGAGCTGGTGGGAGATTCGATGCTGAAACGCCTATACAGGTTCTACCATGGAGGTAACATTAATGTGCAATTTGGTATGCTAAACTCGTACATGTTTTTCTATGTTATGTACCACCATAATGAGAATTTTGCAATTATGGAATAAATTATAAATTATGCATTTGGTTACATAATTTCTGTTTCAGACAACAGTAAACGTAATATTGGCTTCTGCATCGGTGGGATAACCATGTCCCAACTAGCCAACCGACTAGCTGGGAGGACTGTGAATCAGGATGTCATTCTGCAGATTGGAACTAATGATCTTCTGGTTGTAAGTTCTACACGTTGTATCATTTGTATGATATAAATATTTAAAAATCGAAAATTCACTGATATATAAGTAATATATCCTGAAATATTTGCTGACATTTAAATTAATGCGTTTTTGGCAGGAAGGTGTCGAATTGGACATAGAAAAGCTGAAACTGGAAATGAATAATCTTATTGCTGTTGTCAAAGAGTCAGGAGCTGATAATATAACTATCCTGACCCTCCCTCCAATACCCTCCTGTGGGTACAGAAATGGCGTCTTAAAAATCTGGAAGGCATTCAACAAGTGGATTCTTTCAGAACTACCTTGTTAGTGCCTCATGGTTTTAGTAATTTATATAACTTAACTTTAATGTTAATGCAAAATTAAATATTTTTTGCAATATTGAAAATAAAATATATTGTTCAACATATACATATGTAGCTTCAAGACATTTATGGAAATCTATATCTTTCATATATTTTTTACTTTCAGCTGAAGAGAGGAACGTGTCGGTTGTCAACACTGGGAAAATATTCTACTCTTTCACCAAAAATCACTTCAAGAAGGATCTGTTCAACGATGACATGCTCCATTGGAATGCACAAGGAATGGACTTAGTGCTACAGATGCTGGACGAGTCACTGTAGCAAAAGAGCTGTACTCTAGCCAAACAAAATAGAGGATAAGTAAACCTAAAGATCTTTCAATAACTTAATAGAAAGTGGTTATTGTCAGATTAAGTTTTAGCAGTATGTATGTGATTCTAATGGAAATATTATTTACGTGTTGAAGAGGTGAAGGTGATGTTGAGGTGAGAAAATAAAAAATTTATTTGATATTGCATTTTATTTATTTTTCGTTTTATTTTACTATTTTTTATAAAATATCTAATTTAATATTTACTTATTTTTTGGTTTCATAATTTAGATAGGCTAATGTGAATATAGGCCTGATGACTCTTACTAAGCATTTGGCAACTAGCACTTAAATAAATCAAATAATCTCAAGTCCACTTTGCAAATAATAAGAGTAATAATTTATAATTTTTTTATTTTATAATAATTAATAATTTTTCAAATAGCGTTGTTATAACGTCATTGCTTAGTTATTGGTCAAAGGGGAAATCACTAAACGAGGAAGCTTCAGAAGTGGTTGTACAATTTATTATTATTGAAAAGTAACACAGCTCTTCTTGAACTGCCCTAGGACTCGCTGATGAAGATTCCTAGGGCGTTATTAAATGTAACATTCTCATGTTATTTGAAGCAATCTCTTACAAAATTTTGAAGCTCCCTCGTTCATAACGAGCTAGGAGACCAGGCTTGAGCTCTGCCAACCAAACCTCAAGGCAGGGCTCCGTTGGCCACCCCTCCTGGGGCAGCATGGAAGTGGCCGAACCGCAAAAGGTAAGTAGGCAATTCAATAATATGTTTTATTAGTATATTACAGATATAATGTACGTGAACTGTCTCTGCTATGGACATCCACTCCTCATGAATACCGGCCTGCAAATCTAATCTCCGGCGCGTGGCAGGTCAGACAGGACGTCCTCCCTGATGATTGATGAACATCAAGTATCATGTCCAGGTCCCGGCCTTCGTTCGTACCCCCTGTTGAAGAGACCAAATGTAAGTGCTTCTAGCATAGGTATAATGTTGCTTAACAGTATACATGTCTCTTATACACATCTANTCCCCCCCGGAGCGCCCCCCTCCCCCCGGAGCGCCATAAGTACCTCCCTTGTCAGAATTCCACCATGGGCGGGAAACCTCTAGTTGCGGCCCTAAAGCCTAAAGGCAGATGTTTTCAATGCTTGTCTGTAGTGTACTCTGTACACACATTCAGCAACTCATATTTAGATTAAAGATGTGAATATATTAAAAGATAAATTTTCAAACAAAAACAATTAAAAATAAGTTTCAAACATTATTACACGACTATGGCTCTGATTCTCTGAATTCCATAATGCACGATAATTAAAGAACATAGGCCTAAATCAGTCGGGACACCATACTCGCTACACAGTACAGTAGGTACCCTGTACCAGCTGGCATGAGATGACAGATAACTCAGCGTCAGCAAAAGAGCTTCCCAGTTCTGAGTTCCCTATTAGTATTATTTATAGCGGTTTCAGCGTTTATTAGGCCGTAGGCCTGTCGCCGATTCTTAACATCGCAGAACGTTCACAGCATTTTGCGGTCTCGAACTCGCAACTCACTGCTTCAATTCTGCTTTTGCCCGCCCGGCCTCCTTGCCGATTCTGACCAGAAACTGGCGCACAGAGCCGGGATTGAACCCGCGCCTCTCTGTGCCAATCTCTGAACTTTAACCACCGTCCACCGGGCCACCCTGTAATAATAAGTTCCGTTAAATCAATTGTGTTTAAAGCATCAAACCATTTAGTCCACACTCCACAGACTCTGTAACTCTACTTTCCACACTCCATTTCAATTTACCATTTGAGCTTCACGCCTTCACATTCACGTTATCCAACAACAACCCACTGTGCGACTGACTGGAGTGACCGAGTGAGTGTCCGCCGCCGCCGCGCAGGGTTGCCAGATGGAGCCAAGAAAAAAAGGCCAATTTGACTCACAAAAAAGGCCAAAAAGGCCCCATTTGAAATTAATAGAAAATTTTTAAATTTAAGGTAGTTCTAACCATTTGCAGTGCATGCATTTACTCTCAAGATTTTCAGCCAGTTCAGACAGCAAAAAATACACCAATTTCATCACGTGTATGAGCTGAATTACCGTCAATGCTACATAAGCCGTCAGCCTGCAGCGAATTGCACGTTACTCGCCGACCGTAAATAAAACCGTATAATACATGATATTGAGGATTCAATTGCCACCTAACAACCATAAAGCTTTTCGTTCGCGTTAGAGAGTTTGGGCTCAGTTTTGCTATTTTGCCAACAAAATAGATAGTAAAGTGATAGGCGACATAAGTGATTTGGCGTGGAGCGCAGCCGTGCACCACCAATTTTGTGCACCAATAAGCCCTGAATCGAAGGCTTTGGATTTCTCCGGACATCCACCAATCAGCCGTGAACCACTCGGCTTTGTCTTCCTCCGGCCTCGCATAGAACCTGCCATGCACCACCAGGCCGCGGATCGAATCTGACTTCCTGGCATCGTTAAATTATGTAATTTTACGTTCACCGCATCTGAGGTTAGGTTTCAGATAGCATAGTTATGTTCCAAAATTTATCGTCCTTCGACAAGTGGCCGTTCGACCGAGGGCTGGCTCGACCTACGGCCTTGATCAGGACGGCTTCAAGTGATGAAGGCGATGTTCCGGAAGGCAGGAATCATAATGGTCCATTACATCCAGGGCAGTAGTGGTCTTCGGCAGGCGACCCATGTGGCGAAGTTTTTGACATGTTGGCATTGACAGTAGAATATATATACTCGGAAGATGAAAAATTTTAAACTCATTTCTGCGGTATAGAGATGATGTGGTCCATGCAAGACTAATCTAAATATTAAAAGTCAATCATATAAATTTATCACAACTTTTGAATGCGCAGGAAAATAATATATTGCCTATCATTACTTGCATAGGAAATAAAATTTATTTGTTCAAAGTGATATCTTGAAGTGACTCACACCAGAAGGCTGAATATATCGAGAAGCTGTGCTGTAACCTCAAAAAATAGTGCTAAATGTACTGCTCTTTAGAAGTGAAAACTACACTCGATTATTCGCTCTGTCAGCTCTGCCGTCCATGGCCCTTAATTAATACGAGTCGGCAATTGGATATAGTCCCATGGTTCAACCAAAGTGTTGCCCAGATTAGGCGACACTCGCTAGTGTTGCCACCTAAACCGAAGTGTAAACACAGTTTCGTGTCAAAATTTGAGTGTACTCGTCTTGGGAAAAACTGAATTTGGGTGCACTCGTCTTGGATAAAATTGATGGACCAAATTATCATAAAAAAACCGAGAGTTACATTTTTCATAAAAAAGGCCCAAAACGGACAAAAAGGCCAAATGAAAATTTTCAGGCCAATGCATTTCAAAAAAGGCCACATTTGCGAAATTTGGCCTTAAAAAGGCCCATCTGGCAACAATGTGACCGACTGACTGCAGAGGCGGACGGTCAACAACTTCGATGACATCGTAACGAGTAACTCTGACGCCCATGCGTTTAAAAAGTTAAAGCCACCTCCACACGGTCAAACTCATAGTCAGTGTTGCATTTCATGACATGTTTGACATGCAAGTTGTAAGACGTGTGGACGTAAAAGTTTTACGTCTTGCATGGCAGGTGGGTGGAGTTAGAGGTTTACCAAAATTAGAAAAGACGGATGGTCAAACAAACTGACGACAAGTTTGAACGTGTAGACGGGTATCCGTCTCATTGGTCAAACTTGGCCCAATAAATCTGTATTGTTATTGATTGCTCGGACATTGTTTGTTGCAAGCTCAAGTTTTGATCAAGAAAATGACACTACAAGATATTTCAACACTGTTTTCACCGTTTATTTTGAGAGTTCGTAGATCTTTAATATATTTTTCTTGCCCGGGCCGCAGAGTGGCAAACCAGAGATTTTTTTGGAATCAGTTCATTTTAATTTCCTCAGCTACTCCACATATTTTAATCAATTTCTTATGTCTGATAATGCTTGTATCCAAGATATTAACAAGCTCACTTATACGACTGAAAAATGAACTTGAGGAAGGGCAACAACAATTCATGCATTGGTGTTCTAATTTCACGAGTGTCTGTTCAGCCGGTTCTAAAATAGAGTTATTTGATTTAACTTTTCGAATTCAACTTGAAAAATTCTCAAAATCTAGAAATTTATTCCTTTTAAAACGTCAATAATGCCTTACAAATTTCACGAGCCTCAGTTCGGCAGTTTCTGGAATAGAATTATAGCATGAGAATCAAATCAAACTCTATTTCAATACCTAATATCATTGTCATTTCATAATAACTACGTACAAATGTGAGCATTTAAAAAATGCCAGCATTTTAAAACATGAAAGCTTGCTAACCATGATGATTAAAATATTGTATTTGCTTTGCACGGCATACTTCAGAGACGTAAACATTGAGCTAATGAGGCGAAAAGAGTTAGAAAAGGCTAAAAGAGTTATGCTAAGACTAAAAGTGTTAGAAAAATAGCATTGAAGTAGAAAAGTTAAAAATAGCTATAAATAGTATGAAAAATAGCTACTAGTAGCGCCGACAGTCACCTACTTCAGCACTTGACTGACGCTGCGTCTGGGGCACAAGCCGGCGCATGCTTCTGAAGTGGCTGAACCCTTATACTCGAGGACATGCAGTAGCGTGGACAGTTCGAGCGGCGGATGAACTGGCGGTCAGTACTGTCCCCGTGTACAGGCACCTTTAATTTCAACGCGTGGCGTTGGTGCAAAGGCTGAATTCGTACAGGGCAATAATAGTAAAGGCTTGTTGGTGCAAAAAACATTCCCTGCAAAGTTCCGGCGTGCGCAGGCAATTTAATGCGGCATTTTTTTTAATACGTTGGCAGACGACGCTAGGGTAGAGTATCGTGTGAATATCGTATAGAACCATATGCCAAGGTGCTTTCCAGAAGGCTAGTGAGTCTACTGCAATAGAGGTGTTCTGTCTGGAGGCGTGCGGCTGATAACATGCTAGTTCAGAAGTGTTGGAGGCTACGTTATTGGGGGAAAGGATCATGCTAATCCATATGGAGTATGCAGTGGTGGTCTTCGACACTCATCCCAGCCCTTGCATAAGATGAGTCTTCCGCAGCTCCCCTCCAGTCTACGCCGCTGATGCCTAAATGATGCGAACGTTTCGAAGTCAGATTTCTAACTCTACTGACCTAATGCTTGTCG